GGCACCACTGTATGTATGTATGTATGTATGTATGTATGTATGTATGTATGTATGTATGTATGTATGTATGTATGTATGTATGTATGTATGTATGTATGTACTGCCCATCTGGCCTGAGGCCACAAACATCAATATAATCCCTGCTAGTTCATTTAATTGTACTATTCATAAATTGTATATGTATATTAAGTTTCAATTTTATGATCATACGGTATTAACCTATAAGGCCTTAAACAGTTTGGGACCTGGATATCTGGCTGACCATCTCCTTCCCGTTAGGTCTGCCCATCCTATAAGATTGTCGCAGGCAGGGCAGGGAGAGTTCTGACCCCGAGAAAGACCTGGAAAACAACTACTAGAAATCGGGTCTTCTTGACCGTAGCCTCACAACTGTGGAACTCTCTTCCACCAGATGTTCACCTGGCCCCTTCCCTGGGCACATTCAAAAAGCCTTTAAGCCCCTGGCTATTTCGACAGGCCTTCCCTGAACAAACAACACCATGATACAACAGTGCCCAATAATATAACATCCATCCCACCACCATGGTTCATGTATTTACGGTTTTCAGGCTTGTAATTTATTGCATTGTAGCCATGGTTCATGTATTTACAGTTTTCAGGCTTGTAATTTATTGCATTGTATCTTTGTTTTCACTGCACTTTATGAGATTTGATTTGCGCCCCCTAATGAAGTGATGTTGTGTTATTTTGTTGCTCTGTCTATTGGTTGTAAACCGCCCAGAATGGCCTTGGCTGCCAGATGGGTGGTATATAAATCAATCAATCAAATAAATAAATAAATATAACTATAAATATTTTATCACTTGTGTTGTTACTAGTGGCATCTATATTATAAGTAGGTTATGAGCTGTTTCAGGTCCTGGTATTGGGAGAAACACGGGATGTAAATGTAAATACATAATTATATAGCAGTAGCAATCATAATGACCAGCAGGAGACCCTTAGCAGGGCAGTTAGTCAAAGAAACCCTTAAAATCTGGATGGTCACAGTTGACTTCTGAATAAGCATCAGCTACACCCAGCAGTGAAAAGGCCAACAGAGAAAGGCTGGGACGAACATCTCTGGGAAGGCTTCCAGACCTTTGTGCCATCACTGAGAAGGCCCTGATTTGTTATTCTGCTCCTTTTAAAAGTCCTATTTAAGATTAGGAGGAGCTTCAGGACTTACTTAGTGCTCTTCCATTGAAATTGTTATGATTTTTAAGTGCTTCACCCAGAATAGAGCAACTCCCTTGGGTCAGATGTATTCTTTCCAGTTGGCAGTTTGAAGAGGGCGTATAGCAGGTGAAGGAATTCACAAGGTGAAATCAATACTCCGCCTAAGTGAAGCTTGCAAGCAAATGCTTAAAGAACAGAGAATCTGTTCAGGTGGTATGATGATGAATTGTCCCTATTTGTTAAAGAAGATTAAAATATAATAAATACATCCAGAGGCTAAGGTGATTGAAGCAGACCTAAGAAAGGTTAATTTTTGGGCTGCAATTCTCAGAATCCCTGACTAGATGGTTCTGGGAGTTGTAGTCCAGAGGTGACTTTGCCTTGTGAAAGGTTCCCCCCCTGCCCTCTGGTATCCTTAGCAAAGTTTGAGTAGCAGATTGTGCAGTGGTACTTTAGATTCTCTTTATTTAATTTAATGTCTTGTGAGAAAATGCAGCACGTTGGCTGTGAGCATTGCAGGGGCACCTTCTTTGACAGCCATTCTGAGCCTTTGATGCCCAAAGGAAATCTATTCCCCACCCTCCCCACCCCGTGGATCTGTGCCTTTAAGTGACTAACCTTGGTGTCTTGATGGCATTGAAGTATACAAGGATCCAAGAGCTGACAGGAGCACCCAGCGTCCCAGTCCCTGCGCCAGACTTCCTGTTTGAAATCATCTACTTCAATCAGATGAATGCCACATTCGAGGAGACCAAGGCGGGGAGAGACCTCATCTATGCATCTCATGGGAGCAACCTTGAGAGCTTCCACTCCATTGTGCACAATGGGCTACAGTGCCATCTGAACAGGATAAGGGAGCGGTCTTCATTGCACCCTGCCAGATCTTCGACTTAGAGCCTTCTTCCATCCATAGCCACTGGACAGCCCACAAAATGTCTCGGGAGTGGAGGGCTAACAAGAAGGATGTGTTAGCAGTAGCTCTGGTCTTGCTGTTTCCCTGTAACTGGCAATCCAAAGGTATGCCACCTCTACTCCTGCAGGCATGATGAGTAGCCACCACATTCTCCTCTATTAATTGTCCAATCCCCTTTGAAAGCCATGTAAACCCTTGTGGTCACGGCGTTGAATTTATCGCCTGTTATATTTGTATCCCAACTTTTGGCCTGGGAGCTTCAGGGGGCAAATGTGGGTTTTGTTCTCCGAATGTTATCCGCACAACAGCCCTGTGAGGTAGGTCAAGCTGAGTGTGTGTCCTTTGGGTCATCCAGCCAACTTTGCAGCCAAGGGGGAATTTGCCAGGAAGGAGAGCCTTCCAGTACTATCAACAGCCAGAGTGTCCTCCCTTATGTTTCTGTTGTGTGTGTCCTTTGGGTCATCCAGTCAATTTTGCAGCCAAGGGGGAACTTGCCAGGAAGGAGAGCTCTGACCTTCCAGGACTATCAGCCGCCAGAGTGTCCTCCCTTATGTTTCTGTTGTTCTCACTTGCGTGGAATGACAGATCTTGCTGTAATTCAGTGACGGCAGAATTGCACTAAATGCAGAGATGGGGACATTTACCTTTCAACTCCCAGTGGTCCTGGTAACTGGGATAATTTAGTAGCTATAGTGCAAAGAAGTAACTTTCTCCACCTCTGTAAATAACTGATGCTTGGGGGAAGTGGGGCTGGATACCAGTGTGCAGATCCTTTGATATGCAACAGATTCCCATTTTTTCCCCCAGACCTCCTTGTTCGGGGAAGGCACGTACCTGACCAGTGACCTGAGCCTAGCTCTTCTCTACAGCCCCCACGGTCTGGGCTGGCAACGAAGTATCATGGGCCCGCTCCTGAGCTGCGTTGCTGTTTGTGAGATCATTGACCACCCGGATGTGAAATGCCAAGTGCAGAAGAAAGGTTAGTTGCTGGAATGGCCTTCCCTCCTCCTGGCATTATCCAGGTCCGTAGAACTTCCACCATCCCCAACCAGCAGGCCTGGGCATTGCCTGCAACAGCCAGCCGCTCTTTATGGTATTGGCTGTAGGGTCTTCAACTCAGGATTTGGCAAAGTTTGACTTTCCAAAACTTGCTGGTGAGACTGAAGAGAGCTGCAGTCCAGGAACTGGGGGGGAGGCACTTTAACTTGAAATGCTTCTGAACCTTGAGTCAGGAGTTGCCTTAGACTCTCGATTCATTTAATGTAACTTTTTGTGAGTCCCCGCTGCCAACTGCTAGCAGTCACACCATCAATGCTATCTTGTTTTCACCTTGGTTCTAAGAAGACCTCCTTGGTTTTCTTGTGTAGACTCTAAAGAAATAGACAAGAAGAGAGCCAGAGTGAAGAACAGCGAAGGGGGCGATGTCCCTCAGAGATATTTTGTTGTTACAAACAGTCAACTAATTCGGGTGAAGTACTTGCTGGTGTATTCACAGAAGCAGCGCCGGAGGTGAGTGCGCCATCTTTTTACTCTAATCACCGTGTGGAGTAGGTCCTGCAGAGATGATCTGACTACTTGCATCCCCCGCTCACTGAAAAAAAGATTTCTGAGTGATCTTGCTTGCAAAACAAGAGCCAGGAGGAAGTGTCTGTCCTCGTGAACCTAGTTGTCACAAAAACGCAGAAAAGTGAACTGCAAAATGAACTTCCTGAGAAATCTCCACTTTGTCCTCAATAAAATCAAGTTACTAGTCCTCATGGCTGTGAAGCTGAAGATACGCTCGAATAGGCAGTGCCTACAAAAATCTCCAAGACTGAAAGAAAGTTTTGTCAGAGGGCAGAACCTTATAAATGGGGGAGGAGTTTTATGACATGTCATTTTTTTCTGCAGCCTATTTTTGAGCTTAAGGGTGGGTTTGAATATGTTTATGAGTAATCTGGTGAGAAAAGCAGATTACTCATAAATATGTTTGAACTTGCTTTTGGGTTCAAATGTAGGTTGCAGAGAAAATGTGTAATGTCATAGAAATCCTGCCCCTAGTTACAGTATGACATTCCTTGTTTGGGCAGAAACAGAGCAAACCATACCAAACAGCATGAGGCCCCTTTTATTAAAACCAATCGCTTGGCCAGTTGGCTTGCCTGCTTGTAAATGGGACTCTATCCTTTTTTTGAATAGGAGCTTTATTGTATCAGATTTTAAAATAACTAATTTTCTTATATGCCCTTTTAGAATTTCATGTGATGAAGTGTGGCATAGAAATGTTTTAGGTAAAGGTAAAGGTTCCCCTTGACAATTCAATTTT